CAAGATAAAACAAACAGGTACATATCTCGGTAAGAACTGTAGTTTTCCTGAGAAGTCCCCCAAATGCTAAATATGGTTTAATGTGACATCTTCTTAATGCTGTTGAGGTGTTTAACTTAATACTGTTAATGACGGTGAATAATACTGAGCCCTGTGAATGTGGCCTGGTAAGCAGCAACATCCCGGTCTTCCCTGGTGACCTTCACCTCAAAACACTGCTGTTTACTCACATTTAAGGGAAGGATAATAACAGGCATGTCAGATGTTCTGGGTCTTTCTCTAAATTTTGAGTATCAAAGCCTTCATTAATACTTATTAAAGATTTACAGGTACAAAGAGATTTATTATTTAAATATTAATACTATGTTACTGGAAAACACCCCAGTGTTATGTAACACAGTTTCTAAAAATGTATATCAGGTTATGCTGTTTCTTTGCTTTATTCAGGTTGTAATTTATAGCTTCAGAATTGGGTCTCTGAAAGTTTTTTCTCTAAAAATGCATCATATACATACAATTTTAATGCTTATAGGCCAATTTTCTAGCTGAATCAATCAGCAGAGCAATATCCTATTGCATGACGGCATCAAATCAAAGAAATGGTCTTTCCCCCTTTGCTAGTCACAGGAAATGTTGGAAGACATTGGTAAGAACATGCTGTTTCACGTGTCATTAAAATTATAAAATACATGAAAAGGAGAGGTTACCTCTTCCACAGGTATTTCAGAAAAAAAATGTACAACAAAGTGCATGGGCCAACATGCACGGTGAGGTTGGTCTTCCAAAAATGTCATGTTTGGTAATTTGTACGTCTTTGCATATTCTGTTGACTTGTTGGCGTACTGAAGAAGTGAATTCAGCATGATGATACCAAGGCTTAATTGCCCTATATAGTTTTGAGATGAAAGAAACCTGGAGGGTGTAGCCTGAGTGTCACAGTGCCAGACCAATAATCAGAAACCCTGTGGAGAACCGGTATATCAATGAGAAGTAGTCACGAGGGAAGCAAAATGTGTTTGGTAATTGGAGCCGACCCGGGGCGCAGACACGCCTTTCACGCCCTGGGCGGGACTGGGTGCTCTATAAAAACCTGCGCGGCTGAGAATAATGCATTCGCTTCTCCTGCCTTATTCTCCTTGCAGAAGTGGGTAAGTCAGAGTAGATTTAGAAAACCTAGTGAATAATGAAGAGATGTATTTGATACTATTTTCCCCCTCTTTCCCCCCCAGTTACTAATCTACAAGTGCTGTAGATTAATGCATTGGGAATTAAGGTTGTGATTTGATGAGAATTATTTATATGCAAGATATTCTTTCCTCCCTGGATTTTCATTAATATTTGAGTGTTTGAAACTGTGTCAATCCTGTGTGTATCCCTCTTTTCCCTTTAAGTCTTTATCTCAGTATGGCTACGAAGGATTTTCCAGTTTATTTCCTGACGGCTCCCTTTTGACACAGGCGTCGCGGTTCACAATGCCGTCTCCCATCATGATCCATGGGTGCAGCCAGTGGGGCTGTGCAGGAAAGCTCAGAAAGGCTGGTCAGGACAGAGGATTAGGGGGAAGACCTGGCACTAAAAATCAGGATAGAACAATAGATGAGCACAGAGGGTGTCGGGCAGAGCGCCTGGGTTTGCTGGCTCTCTCTTCCCTCCTTGCATGCTTGCTGCATTTATTTGAGATTTATTTGCTGTTGGGAGCATTGCCTACAGGCTTTTTCTTCCCTGTGGTGTTTTAGGCTTGCCTCCCTCCATCGCACCAAGATGACTTACTGCTTCCAGAACCAGTGTGAGGACACCTGCTACTATCCCTGCAACTACGGGACCGTGTACAGCTACCGGCCCTGTGACTTGGGGAGGGACTGCGGCTACCGGGGCTACGGGTGTCTGTACCGTCAATGGGACAGCTACCCCTCATACAGCTCCCGCTGCTGCTACCCCTGCTCTACTTCCTACACCCGTAGATACAGCTATGGGAGCTGCTATCCCTGCTACCCCTGCCAAATCCAGAAGGATTTAATGCGAAACGAGGACTGAGAATTAATTACCGAATTCATGGCTGCTGTTAGGGTGGGGGTTTGCAGAAGCTCTGAGTCCAGGACTGTGACTGAAAGCCATAGTATTTTGGAGAGCTCAGTGTTTCTGTAAAACTTCTTCAATGTTCTTCCAAAATGTTTTGTCTTCTTTTTTCCCTACTGACTTCTTAACCCTACATGGGTTTGGTGGTGTAAAGGAAGCTGGGCTTCACATGGGTTAACATGGGTAAACAACTTCTTAACTCATTTATAGCTCTTTCCCAGCTAACTTTAATGAAATCTAGAGTCTACCTGTACTAGCCTTCCTATGGATATGTTTCTGACTTAACTGCTTTTGAAGCTATACCAAAGAACAGTAAATCATCTGATCTGATTTGTTTCATTGGACTTAATGCAAGTGGAAAAATTTGAAAATGGAAATTGATAGTCAAATGCTACAGCTGTAGCAGCAAAAATGATACCAATGAAACCAGGAGATTTTCTGCAGATATAAATTAATCTCAGTACTTATTCTTTCTGCTTCTGCTTTCTGTATTATTTTAGATTGTGATTGTGAGCTTTATTCTTATTAAAAATGTTACAGCATCACTACGTGTCCCTGATTTTCTTTTTCTGACTTGGATGTACACAGATTTTTGTCCCCTGCTTGATATGTTTTACAGAGACACACTGCACCCTGTAGCTTTACGAATGTCAGCTGAACCTGAGCACACATTTTGCAAACTAACAACCCAGTAGTATCTCAGAAAATGAAGTCACCCATTCTGGAATTTCCTAGGAAGGATTTTGAAATATTCTTTTAAATTTGCCTTAGCATCACAGTGCGTGTGCAGACATCGGACATAACGGCACCACATCTTAGTGATTTGTAAATGCACAGACTGCCTGCAGGAAAACCCAATTTAACTGGGGAATAAGCCAAGAAGTTGGAAGAAAATACCTCTTTCTTAAGTGCTTTTGTGCTGGCAATGTCTGGGATGCTTTCTGGATCTAGAGACCTGATCTGTTACAGAGCAGAAAATAGCACACTTTCTGTTCACCTTATTAAGTGCTGCTAAGAACAAGTGTTTGCAGGTGTTACTGCAAGGCTTCATCTGGATGACAATGAAATGGCGTGAAGTTCCCAGGCTGCACAATCACACAGTTGTTATTAGGGTGAGATCACTTGACGCAAGTCTAAAGTGACTCTATTGTTCATGACTGAAGTACCTCTGAGTAGTAACCTCTTAATAGTATGATGCTGTAACACAGTCTAGGCATAAAACAGCCAGTGAAGTGCTTTGAAAGCCCTATTAAACCCTAGAACCCTTATTGTGAATGTAATTGCTATCCTTTGAACACACACAGAGGCACTTTGAGGGCAGTCTCACAAGAGGAACAGAACTCAATTGTGCTACAATACAAAATGCAAGTACAAAATTCTTGAAAAGCTTTGCAAGTAAAGCTGTGGGTTACGCTTCCAGCAACTTTCAGGATGAAGTTTTCTCATGGCTTCTGAGGAGCTTTGTTCCTAGGAAAGCACTCACCGATGTTGGTGCCTGACATGTTCCCTACAGAAGCACAGTGGATGTTGCTGTTCAACATGTATCTTGACATTAAGGTCTACAAATTTAGCTGGAACTGGTCATCATTTCAATTTTTCATTAGCTAAATCTATTAAACAAAATCTGGAAAGTTATGAATAAGTTACTGAGTAAAAACTGGAAAGTATTAAGTGTCTCAGAGTGCACAAGTAAGAGACAATGTTAGCTTAAAATAATTGCTAATTCCTCAGTAGTTCTACAGACTGTTTATGGACTTAGCTGCTTTAACAGGAGACCTAGTTAAAAGAAAGAGTTAGAAATTCATGGAATGCCACACACATACATGTTTCTTCCACTCCAGGAAATCTAAAGATAAGACTAGAAAGAAATCCAAATTTCTGGGATGAGAAGGCAAAGTAACTAATTGTAGGGTCTATCATGGTCATTTGTACAGACACATTTGAATGAAAAATTTGAAGGCTATAAAATCACATTCTGACTAAAGCATATATCGAAATGTCTCAACATATACTTTTGAAGTGACTATTACTCAATAATAAAGCACCTGAAAAGAGCAGCAAGCTTTTAATACAGTAATAACACACTATAAAATTATAAAATAGTTACGAGTGTCTGAGAAGTGCTTTGAACTTCTCAGACTATGTAGCGTGGAAAAATGTGAAGACATCGTATATTTCTGCTTGAGAAAAGGACCACAAAGTAACAAATAAATTCACTGACTTTTTTTCCTTCAAAAGCTGTCCCTTACGATGGGTCTAATAGCTTGTTTGTATCTGTTGTATGCTACAACACAAGGGTGTCTATCACAATCTGTTGAACCTTTCACAAACACTGTTCACTAACCCACGTGCCATCTGATATTAAACCCTGTGGCTTGAGCTTCATTACCAACATATCCCTGGCCAACGCTGAAAATCAGAAGAGCAAACACATGCAAATGGATCAAAAGCCAAGTCATTGATGCAACGTGGATTCTTTAATTGGGATGAAAAATGCAATAGACAGTGTCAGCAGGAAACAAAACAACACAGAAACAACGACTTGGAAAAATGAAAATCATAAGGCTGCAGCAAGGCACAACCCAGGGCTCCACTCCAAAGAAGCCCACCTCCTGTTGCAGGATGGGAGTCTGAGAGCTGGGCAGAGCAGGAGACACAAACATCCGAGGATGAGTACAGCTTCGTTGTATCGCAGATAGAGGGAAGCTGTTGGAGGCAGTGCTGGAAAACCTAAAACGGCCAGCTGAAGATCTGCAAGGTTACTCTGTGCGAATAAGCAAGGACCATAAAGTTCAAGTAGCTGCTTTGCCACAGCCTAAAGAGGGGTTGAAAGCTTTGTTCTTCATCTGGTGGTAGAAGACAAGAGGTGCTACTTGTGGAGACCGAGGGCAGATGCAGCCCTGAACTCCATGGATATTTGGGGTTTAGCAGGGCCCGCAGTTGCCACTGAGGTACCCGTGGCCTCGGGCCCAGCCACCATATCCGCAACCCCCAAAGGCTCCATAGCCCCCATAAAGCCCATAGCCCCCATAGCCTCCAAGGCCTCCATACCCCCCATAGCCCCCTAAGCCTCCAAATCCGCCACGGCCTCCAAAAGTGCCGCCATAGCCCCCTCCAACACCGGGGAATCCCGCCGAGCCAACAACGCTGTACTGCGGGAAGGAGCTGAGGATGGGCCCGGGGAAGGTGACCACCGAGGCCGGGGGCTGGATCACCACCGTGGAGTCAGGGCACTGCCGCACGCAGGGCTCGTTGGCGCTGTTGGCCAGTGGGGCCGGGGCGGCCACCCCACAGGAAGGGACGCACAGGCTGGAGCAGGACATCTTTCAGGCAGGCAAGGAGTCCTGGAAAAGGCACCGATGATTAGGCAAGGGTGCAGGGAAGGGGCTGTTTCGAGGGAGTCGGGGAGAGATCCCCAGGAGGCTTCCAAGAGCTGGACTTACCCGGGTGATCAGGAGAGTCAAGTGGAGGAAGCTGGATAGAGGGCTGCCAAGCCCTCAGCTCTTTTATACATGTCCCAGACTGCCCGGGGCATCGGCCAGAGGGGCGGTGGCAGAAACCCCGGGCAATGATGAAATCCAGCGGACAGGCTTCATGACTGAGATAGTGTTGCGAGACAATTATATGCATCGACAAGGTGCTGCTGCTGTAGCTGACCACACAACACCAATAAACCCGATTCTGTCCCCAATCCTCCTACTTTGCCTATGCGGCAAGAGTCCGAGCATCTTGCAGAAGTGCTTTGCAATCCTGTGCACAACCATCACGCCTGTCATTACCTCCCTTTTACAGGCTGGTAAACAGGAACACCGGGAGGTTGGGCAGAGGGAGAAGCCATTCCACATGCTTGGGGTGACTTCCAAATGCCCACCATCTCCAAATGCCAGCAACAGCTGCGCATCTCACGGTCTTGGAGTCCACAGACATCTCTACTAATTGCCAACCTCTAAGGCTCTGGAGGACATTGGGATTTTTGGTCCCAATTTCACTTGACAGCCATGCAAAGAGCAGTGGAGACGGGCCCCATGCGTGGCAAAACTGCAAATGAACAGGGGGCTGGTAGAGATGCAATAGGCACGGCAGTGGGATAGACCATGGGATACCTCTGAGAGGGGGGACGTATGTGGACGAGCAGGAGGGCAGGAACAGGACCAAGACACTCTCAGCTCCCTCAGCTACGTGTCTGTGAGCATGGTCCTCCCCGAGCCCTCTCTGGGGGAACTCGATTACCTAGCTGGGCATTGAGGGCTGTGCCAGGAGAGGCTGGCCAAGCACCCACGGAGAGCCCGGCTGCACATGGCCACGCTCCCCATGGGCACAGGTGTGCTGGGCAGTGCTGGCTCTGAGTGCGTGGCTGGACTGCTGCTGAGTGTGGCGTGGTTGGGCACAGCAATCTTCTGCGAGATGCTCAGGATTCTTCCATGTAAGCAAAGTGAGGGATTAGGGGCAGAGCAGGGTTTATTGGTGCCACAAGTTCAGCTACAGCAGCGCCTCGTCTTTCATGCAATGATGTGTCACGGTCTGTCCCTCCCATCACCTCTTTCTTCTCCAGGGCACATTTGCACGCCAGTGTCCCCAGTGAGGAGGCATATAATTGTCTCACATCACTATCTGTGTCGTGAAGCTTGTCTGCTTGATGTCATAATTAACCGGGGTTTTTGCAACCGCCCCCTTGGTCGATGCCCGGGGCAGTCTGGGACATGTATAAAAGAGCTGAGGGCTCGGCAGCCCTCTATCCAGCTTCCTCCACTTGACTCTCCTGATCACTGTGGTAAGTCCAAGCCTTACGTCCATCTTTCCTTCCTCAGCCGTGGCTTTCTCAAGGTACCTTTTGCTCTGGGCTCCACCACTCTTTCGTAGTGCATAGTTAGGATGTGACGGGACTGTTTCAGAGCTGTGGAAAGGATGGAAAATTGAACTGGTAGGTACCATGCCCTGAGTTTACCAATGGACTCAAGTCCTTTGGGAGCTCGGTGATTTTCCATCTGCTTTGGATGAGGGAGTTTTTCCTCACTCCCATGGGCGAGCAAGAACCAGGGAGCATGAGGGGAGCAAGGGGTCTAAACCAGCATTTCAACTCTGGAACGTGTTTTTGCTCTGACTGCCTGAGGTCATCCAGAGCATGTCCTGGGACACAGGTTCCAAGCACAAGAGAGCCAGGAGGGATTTGGGATCAGGCCTTGCACTGAGCCAGAGCTCTGCCTTGTCTTGCAGCTTCACCTCCTGAACTGAAGGATGTCCTGCTCCAGCCTGTGCGTCCCTTCCTGTGGGGTGGCCGCCCCGGCCCCACTGGCCAACAGCGCCAACGAGCCCTGCGTGCGGCAGTGCCCTGACTCCACGGTGGTGATCCAGCCCCCGGCCTCGGTGGTCACCTTCCCCGGGCCCATCCTCAGCTCCTTCCCGCAGTACAGCGTTGTTGGCTCGGCGGGATTCCCCGGTGTTGGAGGGGGCTATGGCGGCACTTTTGGAGGCCGTGGCGGATTTGGAGGCTTAGGGGGCTATGGGGGGTATGGAGGCCTTGGAGGCTATGGGGGCTATGGGCTTTATGGGGGCTATGGAGCCTTTGGGGGTTGCGGATATGGTGGCTGGGGCCGAGGCCACAGGTACCTCAGTGGCAGCTGCGGGCCCTGCTAAGCCCCACACTGGGTCCGGCCACAGGCGAAGGAGAGCTCCGGAAAAGCCCCTGGCACATCCTGACATGTCGCCCAAAGGAAGGACGTCCCTTCAGCATTGCTGGGCTACGGAGCTTGGACGCCTCGCGCCTGCTTGGTGCCCAACTCTGCCTTCTTCCTGCCCCGCTTGAGCTTCACTCCAGGACTTGCTATCGCCTGATGATACAGACCCGCGCTGGGTGCCGGCTCAC